AACATCTATTGGAAATGAAGATACCAAATACTATCTTGGTTCACTATATGTTTGATGCAAAAAAGACTGAATACTTAAACTTTAATACCAGGATGTGTAAATGAAAAAAAAAAAAAAAAGACTGAATACTTAAACTTTAATACCAGGGTGTGTAGATAGAAAAAAAAAAGACTGAATACTTAAACTTCAATACCAGGGCCTTTTAAAAGTCTTAGTCAAAACCATCAAATTCTGAGATTATTTGTACACAGTGACTGTACTGTAACATAATCATACAAAAACTGTCTTGATTATGGGCTAGTAATAACTTTATAACCCAAGCCCTTCATAAGCTGGGCTAAAACCTACTTATTCCCTAATTCGTCAGTAGTATTCCAACTGTGGCTTATGCTGCTAAGGAGCCGAAGGTTGTAGCTCTGACCTCTAGCGATCAAGGTGCATTCATCTTCCTCCATATCGCAAACCAAACTTGTCTTCCACATAAATACTGCCATGCACGTGTACTTCTGCAGGTAGAAAACAGCAGTCACGAGAATTAACTATTCATCAGTTTTACATACGTTACTTTCAAATATCTCGCACCACTTCACAAAAACTAATCGCGTGATTCATAAACAATACCACTAAGTCTTCTAATACAACAAACAAAATCTTTCATAGATACAACCTCCAATCAGATCACTCACGTAGTTAACAAACAAGAAAATTATTGATATAATCAACAAGTTGGATAAGAACTGATGATCCGTTCCAATGATAATACCACCCAATCTTTCACTAACGGTACCGTCAAATATTTATCTTTCATACCTTGTGTCACAACATTTTCCACACACACAAACACACACACACTTAGTACAATTTCACCCAGTTTCAGTTGCATGTCTTCAACACCTAGCTCTTTCTCCCTCCTGTAACAAAACATTCGTCACTTCCCACAAGCACACAAAACTAAACCGTTGACAGAGAGTAGCTGTCAATTTTACTTTAATGTTGTTTAATAAATCTAACCTTTGCTCCGAGAAGGGAGCTGATGAAACTACAACATTACAATTTCCCTTCTAATCGGTTTTTGTAACTTACTTCAAATAAAAAGATAAGTAAATTAACAATATGTAAAACAGTCTCAAACACTTGAATATCGACTAATAATTTATGTAGTTCATTTTCTCTATTTAACAAGTAGATAAAGCATCAAGCTCTTACCTTATACAGTACTGGAGCATTAATTCCAGCCATTGGATCACACATGAAAATTATTTCTGATGAACGACGACCACTTTCTGTCAAAGAACATTTGAGTGAAACAAATATTACTGAAGTGACACATTACTTTTCTCTGGTTAAATGTGTATTTTAGTGGAAAAAATACTACTGAGGTGACACACAAAATACAAATGTGGGACAAGACTTTTCTCTGGTTAAATGTGTATTTTAGTGGAAAAATTACTACTGAGGTGAAACACAAAATACAAATGTGAGACAAGACTTTTCTCTGGTTAAATGTGTATTTTAGTGGAAAAAATACTACTGAGGTGACACACAAAATACAAATGTGGGACAAGACTTTTCTCTGGTTAAATGTGTATTTTAGTGGAAAAAATACTACTGAGGTGACACACAAAATACAAATGTGAGACAAGACTTTTCTCTGGTTAAATGTGTATTTTAGTGGAAAAAAATACTACTGAAGTGACACACAAAATACAAATATGAAACTTGATTTTTCTCTGGTTAAACATGTATTTCATTTCACTTTATAAACTTTTCATGACAGAAATAAAAACATCAAGTATGAACAACTGAATAAAGGTAGTTAAGTTTTTAAAAAATTAAAAGCTAACACGCAGTTCACTCTTGAAATACTTATTAAAAATATCTTATGTAAACTCACCACCAGAGGGACAATCACTTCCATTTTTATATTGCAACTTCAACATCCGACCATCATACAACAATGTGGCACTGTCAGCCGAGCCGAAGTTCTCCCCTGAAGAGCCCAGGGTACATACTCCAGCTCCAGGACATCCCAAGTTGATATCCGATTCTTTAACAGCCGCACAAACATTAAGTGCAAATTCTTCTTGTTCATCAGCACCAGAAGTCTGAATGTTAATGTTTGGTTGTTGTTGTGACAGATTAAGTTTTTTTCCTACTTGATTGGTTGTTGTAGCGGTGGTCATTCTGGTCAGTTTTGTCATGTGAAACTTTGTAATTGAAACACTATGATTGTTGTGAATATTTTGGTCAGTTCTGCACATGAAAATGTTAATATGTGTTTGTTGGTCAGCTTTACCATGTGAAAACATTAATGTTTGGTTGTTGTTGTGAATGTTGTAGTCTGCTTTGCCATGTGAAAACATTAATGTTTGGTTGTTGTTGTGAACGTTGTGGTCAGCTTTGCTACATGAAAATGTTAATATGTGTTTGTTGTGAACATTGCGGTCAGCTTTACCATGTGAAAACATTAATGTTTGGTTGTTGTTGTGAATGTTGTAGTCAGCTTTGCCACATGAAAACTTAACGACATCTACTAAGAAACCTCGGAAATATTTATCACTTCCAAAAAGCAGTAATCTACACGTCATGTTAAGTTAAATTCTTAGACAATCAGGTGAAGTGATACTTTTAAAACCTTACATTAATACAGTTCAAATATTTAAATACACATTAGTTTTGTTGCTCTTCAATCTAATAGATCCTTTTCAGACAAGCGACATAGTATGTCAGATATAATGGATTATACTTTTACTTCACCAAGCATTCTTGCCATAAGCCGCACAGTCAACATTACGAATTCAATGAAGGTTTTTCACAGAAATGGACACAAGTGAATATAATGAGCAGTTGTAGCAACGACATTGTTATTTCTACGTGTGGGTAATGACTTTATACAATGTTGAAATCGTAAAATACATAAAAATTCGAATTTTAAAGTTGGAAGATTATTAATTTCTGTACAGAATAAAAATATATCGAGTATTTCTCTAACTATACAAACATTTACATAAACACTAAAGGTGTGGCAATACAGTGATATGATTTATGAATCTTCACAAAATTTGGCAAGCTTTCAGTAAATGTTACAAGTCCTTTGTAGAGAAAAAAAAACAATTTCTAATAAAGTATTTTTGTTAAAAATTAATGATTCAATAAAGGCAGATGAGTATTACGTCTTTATTTGTTTTATCAAAACATTACATGCAAAATAACATAACAAATTAACAGTAACAAAATGGAGAGACAGATATTATTTTTTTTATTTTACTTCTCTTGCCAGCTGCCATTTAGTTCATCAAACCTGAGAATTTGAAAAAAGCACTGTAAAGTGTACAGTACTTAACTAACACAATGTTGGTAATATAGATATTAAATTACAGACAAGACTGTCAAACTTTGTAACAAACCGTTGATAAACTTCTGTATCAAGATACGTATCGTATCATGGCATCGATATCTACACACGTATCGTATCGACTATTATGATGAGATACGCACCCTCTAATAAACACACACAAATTTATTTATGGAGGAATAATTTATCTAAATAAATACAAGATAGAAATATTAGAAAAATGAAGCACCTTTAAAATAACTTTTAACTGATAGTTTTTAAAGAGCCTACATATTCAAAATCGCTTTTAGACATTCATATTGCTTTTAACTTACCTTATAAGAAGATCTAGATATTGTCAGAGGAGAAAGGTCGAAGTTAAACCCCTTGAACGAGTCACTGTACATGCATTTCTTAGAATCAGATATAGCATGCAGGCCTCTAGGACATACAAGAACAGTTTTCCATTCGAAGATGTAAACACAATATTCGGGTATGAAATCTATCAACACCGGATCTCCCTAGACACACAATCAAGCATAATTAAAATCAACCTTATATTCACATCGTGACATTACAGGAAACAAAAATCACACGTGCAGAAAGCAGTGAAGATAAAGATTATGTAAACAAAATAAAATCCTTAATTTCACTTAAATTTCTTGCTTAAAATGTAAAAGATCTACATAACTAACGCAACCATGTCTTAATCTCAGTATGAACCAATTAAGATAAAATTACAGCAATTGATCTATATCTAAATAGTTTTTAACAATGAAAAATATTAATTTTATGAACATTTATATTACAACAGTTACCATTTTCAGTTTTTAAAACATTCGGCAACAATACTCTGTACTATTACCTTTGGAGCCGTTAATCATTCGGCAACAATACTCTGTACTATTAACTTTCCAGCCGTTAAACATTCGGCAACAATACTCTGTACTATTACCTTTAGAGCCATTAAACAATCGGCAACAATACTCTGTACTATTACCTTTCCAGCTGTTAAACAATCGGCAACAATACTCTGTACTATTACCTTTCCAGCCGTTAAACATTCGGCAACAAAAATACTCTGTACTCTTACCTTTCCAGCCGTTAAACATTCGGCAAAAATACTCTGTACTCTTACCTTTCCAGCCGTTAAACATTCGGCAACAATACTCTGTACCATTACCTTTCCAGCCGTTAAACATTCGGCAACAATACTCTGTACCATTACCTTTCCAGCCGTTAAACATTCGGCAACAATACTCTGTACTATTACCTTTAGAGCCGTTAAACAATCGGCAAAAATACTCTGTACTCTTACCTTTCCAGCCGTTAAACATTCGGCAACAATACTCTGTACTATTACCTTTCCAGCCGTAGGGTCACATAAGAATATCACGCGTCCTTTATTCCTCTGTGTAACATCTGACTCGCACTGTGAGCCATTGTGGAAAAGAATTGTCACATGACCTTCAAAGTCTATAAATGGTTCCATCAGTGACTGACCGAGGCTCTGAAATAATAATATAAATTACATTTCTTAAAAAAAAAAAAAAATCAATTCAAATTTCTGGAAACAGTTTATTATGGTAAGATTTACTCAAGAAACAACAAATAAGATAGACTTGTATGAAATATTTGCTGTAAATAAAAAAGGGGGAAAAACATTTATTTCATGCTGAAAAAAATAAATAAATCAGCTAATGGCAAGCATAGCCAAGTCCATGATCACTGCAATAGTCTGAAGGGACAGTAGAAAATGGGTTACCTTTAAAGTTGATTAGTGAATATTAACCCAATATTTAGACATTCCCGCAGCATTCATATTAATATTACTCCTTTTATACTGTGTATCTCCTGTATTTGTGCACTAATAATAATAATAACTAACTTTTTACAACTGATTCTTTCAAGTACATTATTCTTTCGAGAAAAAGTCACAAGTTTGTACGTCATATTTTATGTTGCCAATCGAGTTCAAGTGTCACTACTTCGTTAAATAACAATCAATAGGATTTCTCCTTGCAGCCTCTGTCAATCTCTCTCACCAGTGTGCATTTTCATGACTGACTTTCAGTAGTATGTTCATCTTGAAAGAAATACAAAAACAACAAGAATGCTAGTTCTAATATGGTGCCAATCTGTCGAGCAGAGCCAAGCCTGATTTAAAAAGGCTATTTGCCATTGGTCCAGCAGACTTACAGACTAAAGTGAATATTTCCAGGACTTGCACACACGCACATTTCCCTTATACATGTGGAAGAATTTAAAGTGCACATTTTTTATGATTAAATCTCATGAATGGCTTTTAATACATCTTAAAGAGCAGGATACTACCGATTGTCAGTTACTGTAATAACTTTTTGATAGCTTAAAAAAAAACAATTTCATTTCAAACATTTTTAACTTTAATAAATAAACTACAAGCTTCAGTTTTAACTTAATTTCCAAGCACATTTTGGAAATAGTTTAAATAAGTCACTAAAATATGGGAGACAAGTTTCATACAATTAAAAGTTTAAATACACAATTATATCTTTCTGGCTGGCTTTGAATTTATTTAGTGGACATTTTTTTAAGTTTTACTCAATTTAAACATTTGTATTGAAAGATATTAAAAGAACAAAAATATTATTAGCTTACAAGGTATTTATTGTCACTTATCCCAACTTTACAAACAGCAGCATTAGGGGGGCAGTTTACTCCAGGTTCTGGGTTCAATGGTCGACAAAGGTTTAGAAAGTACGCCGATCTGTCATCCATCATGTTTGTCGCCGAGTGCTTACCCTCCGTCAACATTAAAGGTGACAAATCAATAGTTTCTGTACCATTTTGCACAGCACAATACACCTAAGTTAGTTGAAAAGATAAAAAAATTTTTTTTTTTAATGTCAACTTTAAGTTATCTCAATCAGTAGCGTAACTACACACAAAAAGTAATTGGGCCCCCTAACATTATTCAACTTTAAGTCTATATCAATCAGTAGCATAACTACACAAAAAGTAATTGGGCCCCCTAACATTATTCAACTTTAAGTCTATCTCAATCAGTAGCGTAACTACACACAAAAAGTAATTGGGCCCCCTAACATTATTCAACTTTAAGTCTATC